TAATGATCATTTGCAAACTTAGTTAGGTAAGATTACATTTAGAACAAAAATTTTTTGTTAATAATCAATACATTAATAATTGATATAAGCAAGTTTTGTTACATACACCTATACAAGTCAATAAGATAGACTAGAGGTGTAAACAATTCCTTAGATGTTTTTTATTACTGGTCTTTAACAATGCTATGTGATGTTGTCATTTGAATATTAAACATAAATATTTAGACTTAGAATAGTTGGAGGCCAACAGCAAAGCTGTACTGAAAACTCAGGCAGCATGGCAAGTGCAGAGACCTATGCTGCAAACATGGAGAATGAACCCATAGACTGACAGCTGGAGGAGACCTCCGATACCGGTAGTTCTCCCTGAGCTCTGTCCCGTGAGTTATTATCTGTTTTGTTTCTAGCATCTTTTTGACTATTTTGACCTCTAGCTCATGAGACTTCAGATAGCTCTTGTGAGTTGTTTTAGTTTCCTTTTAGCACTGTACTCCTGTCTTATAACTTCTAACTGCATGTTTTAATTCTTCTCTGTGTTTTCAAAGTATTGATTTTTATTTTAATGACAAACCACTTCAACTAATACTTCATATCAAGCTGGGCATTTTATAGAGTAGAATACAACATTTCTACTAGAAGTTCTGAAATTTCTAAGACAAATATTAAGATTTCTGGGAAAGAGAAAATTAGGCTATTCTATAAATTTTAATCTGTTTGCAAGAGGTTAATTTTTTTCTTAGCAAATTAAGTCCTTGGACAATTTGCTGTGAAAAGTTGGTCCCCAGCGTACAGTCTTGGAGGTGAGGAGCAGTAGTTTCTCAACAGTTTCCAAAGCAGGAGAGAGTAATTGGGACATGATCAGGCAGACTCCAGAAATGAGAAGGCAGGAGGCAGAGGGGAAGTGGGGACCAGACGGAAGAAACAACATGGCTGTTGGGGAGAAAAAAAATCTGTGTCACAAGGACGGCAGGAGCACTTCAGCAAGTCTGGAGTACATATTTAGGTTTTTGGTTTGCATAATGCTTCCATGTTTTCCTTTCCACCTTCAGACATATGACTCTTAAACTGGTATTTAAAATCTACTTAACACTCCTTTCATCCAGGAATGACTTTCATTATGGTGCTTTGGGGGGATGGAAAACTGAGTTGCTTTTTACAAGTGTGCCACCCGGGTAACAGGGAAAGCAATTTGCAGCCGAGATCCCGGAGGAGCTTGGGCCTGGGTTCGACGTTGGGTTTTCTACTAACCATCTGGCAATATGAGATTAATCTTGAAATATTAAATATGAGAGAAATGAGCCTAAGCAGGTTGGGAGGATTTAGAATACCTAGGCTATTAACACAGAGTCATGCCTCAAATAATTGAAATCTTATGGTCACAGTGGACTACTCAGTATATGTCTGGTTACGCTGTGGTTTGGAGGGGAGGGGTTACTCAGCTTGCCTATACTGTTAATGTTTTGTGCATGCTTTGTGTAGAAGCACTGCCGCTATTTTGTCATTATAACTCCTAAAAATAAGTCTCTAAATCTAACCATAACTCTCTGGATTTCTAAAAACAAAATAGAGTGGACAATTGTCTTCCTTAGTTTAGACTTCTACACTTTGACAAAAGATAAGATACAAGTATTTTATTTTCTCATCTCTTGCATAGTTGTAAATACTTTGCACAAATTACGATCTTTTTGTTTGGTTGTTCCAGCTAAAGAAGTAGTGTAGGGGAAACCCTGAAACTTCAAGTTGGAAGATTTTTCCTCCAACATTAGTGTGGGTAATGAAAGCTATGCAATGATTTGATTATCACATATTCTGAGGTTGAATTTTTTATCTGTAAGATCAGAATTAAAAATATGACTCCTACATGCCTGATAAAATTATGATCAGAGGATATAATACAAAAATACCCAATATAAATACAAATATATGAAAAGACCCACTACAAATACCTTATATCAATATGAAATAATATCATTCTAATTATTTCATTTTTTATTTTAAAAAGAAAAGAACAGAAAACAAAAGCAAAGACAAACACAAAACAACACAAAAAATATAAAAATGATGCAGAATTTCAAAACAAGATGATAGGAAATCAATGATGGTTGTATTACGTACTGTTATCTTCAGAGTAGTTGCTCAGATTACCAGATATAGGTAGGCAAGATTGATCAAATAATTAAATGTTAACTGTTCCTTTCAATAAACCAATAGAAATTAGTAGTACAATTATCTTACCTATCTTGTGTGTGTGTTCATATATATGTACATGCAGACACACAAATATATTTCTCTCTCTTTCTTTTCTCTTTTTCTTTCTTCTTTTCTTCATCCAGTTCATTCTAATTAGCTCATAAATGTACTTTAAACAAATGCTGTGAATCATAGAGGGTTAAAAAGCATCCTAGAGGTGATTTTGAAAATTCTTGTTTAAAAAATAACCAGATGAAAGAGAAAGTGGTAACATACTTGCCTTGTCAATGAAATAATTCTTTTGCCTCTATAGTTTTGTAACTCTCTCTGATTAAGTGAACCATCCAAATGACTAATTTTCTGTACATTAATTTCTATCTTTAGTCAATTAACTTCTTCAGAAAAAATTGCATGTTCTTTTAAAAATTGATGACTATGCTACAGGATTTATTGTTCCAACAAAGTAGTTAGTCAAAGTGATGGGTAGATTTGTTTCTATAGAGGAACAATACTCAGTTAAAAAAACCAACCCTTCTGCTAAAAGTACTTCAAGCAGTTTCAGATATTTTCTAATGGGAAGGATACAGATATATTTCACAAATCATAGAAAACTATAATTGGATGTTTTGTTCTGTTAAGAAATGAGAGACACTGAGTGAGAAGAGTTACAGTAGGGCAGAGAGAATGCACAGAGTGAGGACTGAGAGAAGGAGACAGGAGAGAAGAAGGAGGAGTTCACTGACAGAAACATTCATTCTTTGCATTTTGAGACCTTAGTCTGTGCTACACTGACTGACCCCTGACTGTTTTTTTAAAACTTTTTTTGAATTTCTTTTCTTAATCCAAAATATTGTTAGCCCGTGTTTGCAGAGCATAATTACATTCATCAAGGGGACGCGATAAATTTACATAACACATCTTAATTTCCTTCTATCTCTTTCCCCTCCATCCTTCTCTGCTATGAAAACCAATATGGAGATGCCTCAAAAACAAACAAAACACAAAATTCCATTTGACTCAGCTACTCCACTGGTGATAACTTCCTGAAAGAGTTAAATACATTGTATTACAGCCAGCCAGGCATAGCATGTTTACAGCAGCATGACTGGTAACAGCTCAACCTTGGAAGCAGCTTTCCAACAGATGAATGGATAAAGAAAATGTGGTAGTTATAAACCATGGAGTACTATTCTGCCATGAAGAAAGATAAACTTGAGCCTTTTTTGGAAAATGGATGCACAAGTTTAAATATCGCACGATTTTCTTGTATGAGACACCCAACATACAGACTTTTTCCAAAAGTTCATGAAACCATATTTTTCCTACCCAACAGCTATTATAATTCATGACCACCATGTCACCCCTGAATCACTGCCTTAATCATGCTCATATTGTCACAACCTCTGCCTTTCCATCCTCTTTCCCACCCAAGCCTGCCTCATCTGCCCAGCTCAACCTGAGCTGAAGACAAGACCCTTGAAGTGCTCATCATGGGAACATGAGGTCCAGCACCTCCAAGCATTTTTTTCCTGATAATTTAGGTCCTGAAGCTTTTCAGAGTTCATCTTTCCTTTTCATACACAATCATACACATTTTTTTTTGTCTTTTGAGACAAAGTTTCACTATGCAGTTCAAGGTGGACTTGAACTCACTCTGTAGCCCAGGCTGGTCACCATCTTGCAGCAATCCTCCTGCCTCAGCCTCCTGAATACTGGAATTATAGGTGTTCTCCACCACACTCAGCTCATACTCAATCTTAACTGGTGAAACAAATTGCTTGGGACATACCTGCCCCTTTTATGAATCTTAGCATGGAGAATATTGGGCATGATGTAGAGACCTCAATCAAATATAGTTAGAATTCTCTTGTGGATATTTGACAAGTGGATGAGCTTATCAGTCAGGAAAGGGCTGTTGAGTAGCTTGTCAGGAGATTAATGAAGTGAGGTTCATGGACCAGCTTTCAGTTTGTTACATGCCCTTCCCCCTCCTTTCCCTGCTTTACCTATTTAAAGCAAAATATTGAGAACCAGAGGAGAGTTAAAGATTATTCTGATTAATTTTATGCTGGCAAAACCTTAAACTCAATTGTTACTTCTCTGAGCCTAAAGTCCACAGCAGTGAGGCTTGCACAGAATCCCTGCCTGGATGGACAACCAGTCTCTCTGGAGGCTGAGCTTCTGAAGAGCACAATAGATGGCTGGGCTAATCCTGGAACTGGATTTACTATCCAGTGATGCTAGGAAGTCACTGGGCCCATTCTGTCACAGTTGGACCCAAACCCCAGTGCATGCCAAAGGCCATTGCAGTGGCTACCCAGGGACTCTGCTCCCATACCCGGGCTGCTGGTGTCAGAGCATATTCCAACCTGGAAATAGGTCTCATTCTTCTTTGTGTCTCCTGGGACACTCTAGAATTTTATAGTGTATATTTATATTTGAATAATCAGTACATTTTTCTCATTAAGTAAGAATTAGTGTGTTTTGCTAAGTATAGTTAAAATTATTGCATTTAAACGTGAAAACAGTAAAGTATGCCTTTAAAATTATATGTAATAATGATTATACATTATGTAGCATTTACTGGGGGATAAATATAGTTTTTAAGGGCTTAATCTATATTAGTTCATTTAATCCTCACAGCTCTATAAGGTTAATTTTCTTTGTTTGATTTCCGTATCAGGAGATTAAGGCAAAAGGAAAATAAGTGATTTGCTTAAATTACACAAAAACTCCAGGCTGTACAAAGCTTCTCCTGACCCTCAGAAATATCTGACATAAAAATCAACAGAATTATATGTGGGCTGATGTTTACAGTGTTTGTGTGAAAAGAGGAAAAATATCAGAATATAGGCCTCCAATTCAGAGGCTCCTTAAGTCAAAATTTAGTGATCAGGAAAAGTTTGGAAGATTGAATGAACAAGCTGAGGGTATAAGAAAGTGTAGAAATGTCCAAAAGTTCAAGATTGAAGGATACTTCTCTTAGCAGTTTATGGATGTCATCAGTACATAAAAGTTATTAAATATTGAAAATTTAAATAACTGGAGGAAAAGCAAAGCTAATTCAGAAACTTGTGTAGGCAGAGTAGAGCTCCACTGCTGATTCATGCTTGTTTTTAGGGGAACAATCTTGATGCTCTATAGAAGAAATGATTGCCACCCTGGCTGGAAAAATTGAACTTCAGTATTGACAGAAGTTATCTCATTCAAGTGATTCAGCTCTTGACCTGGGGCAGAAAGGGATGAACATTGAGGAATTTACTCAGTCTATTAGTCACATGTACAGAAGTTAGTAATTCATGTATTATGACTGGTTATAAATATCAATTTATTTTTTAACTCATATCTCAATCCAAATAGAACTCTCCAAGAATGGGGAAGTGATGAAGTGGGTGCAAAGGTAATACTAACACTTAACAATGCTTATAAGAACTTACTAAGCTACTGCACATACTGCTTTTTCATCAGAGCTCTGACTTAATCTTCCTAGAAACAGAGTTCTCTTTTTACAATATATATTTCATAATGTTGTCTCTACTTTCTTGAAATAAACTCTCAGGATAACATGAAGTAAAAAATATGACATGTTAAATAAAATCCAAGTGACAACACTAATAGTAAAATTATACGTATTTCCATATGTTAATGTACTGGCAAAACAACACTAGCAGATATAATGAGGTAGTAAGGTGCACATCCCTGTTTGAAGAATTCTTGTAGCAACAGATACAAGTATGTTACATCAGAACCAGATATCATGAGTGGTGTTGCTGTTCAGGAGATGATTTCCCAGAATGAGGAACAACTGTGTGCAAAATTTTAAACAAAATAAAGTACAGTTTTCTGTCACCTTCTACAGTACTTGTTTGCTTGAGTCATATGTATCCATAGTTTAATCTGGTAGGGCATAAAGATGTCAGGCTCTGATGTATGTAGCATCTCAGGATCAGCAAAATAATATTTCCAGCTTGTCAGTACTTTGCTTAGACCAAGTGAAAGCAATACAGCAAAATGCCCCAAAACAGAATGGCTTAAAATAGCAATGATACAATATTTTCCACAATTAGTTGGGTTGGTTGGGCAATTTATATCTGTGAATATGTGTCAAACCTCCCCAGTTATGGTGATAACCGAAATTAACCACAATCGCCACATTTTCAAATCTCTACCTGGCTAGCTTCTATTCATTCCTTAAATCTCAGTTTATATGTCCCTTTGCCAAGCAGACTTTTCCTGATTCTCCACTGTGCTGAATTCCCTGGGGAGCAGACTCCGATGGTACTCATCCTGATGCTCACTACATTTTTTTTCCTGATGAAAGATGTAAAATGATGCATTATAAAACTAAGAAGCTACTTTATTCAAAATCCAATCTTTAAATATTGTTTAACAAGGGGTTATGGAAGTTAGGACGCTGGTGGGAAGTGGGACTACTCACTGCCATGGTCCGGACCACAAAGCATGGAGCCGTGCTGGCTTGGAACCATGTGCGCACTGGTCAGAAGCACCATGGAGAGTCAGGGCAAAGTGTCTTTCGAGGCGCACATGGACTTGGATATGCAACGTCTTAGATTAATGGCTCATACGCATCATTGTCGGACAACATGTTCTGGGAGGACAGACTCTGTCTTGATCACCATTGTGCCCAGGTTATGTTGTCCCACATAATTGTAAAAAGTTGTTTTGCATTAAGTTGCATCAAACTGATCTGAAATTGAATTTACTGATCAAGTGCCCAAACATTGTAACCTAATGATTTTTTTTTTTTTATTTTAAAGAGAGTAGTAGAAAAGAAAAAAAGAACAATAGCAGCATACCAACATCACAGACATAGAGTGCTCTGGGAGCTGCTGGCCCCATGGTTCGAATCCGTGCTTTGCTCACACTGCCACGGTTCCCAGCTGAAACTCGTTGAGAGAGCCAGGTATTTCCCTTCTACTTCCTGAGGGCAGAGTGGGCTACCCAGCACCCCGTTGCCATTAGAGACTGAGTCTCTCCCCTCCCTGCAGCTACAGCAGAGGGGAAGTCCTCACTCAGAAGCCTCAGGGACTTCTCTGGCTTGAGGTGGGGGTGTAGCCTCTCCCAGTGCCTGCGCACCCTGTGCTGAGTGAGCGAGTGCTCCGGGAGCTGCTGGTCCCATGGTTTGAGTCCATGCTTTGCTCACAGCGCCACAGTTCCCAGCTGAAACTCGCAGACAGAGCCAGCAGAGAGGAGGTCCTCACTCAGAAGCCCCAGGGACTTCTCTGCCTTGGGTCGGGGCGTGTAGCCTCTCCCAGCACCTGCGTGCTGTGCACCGAGTGAGTGAGTGCTCCGGAAGCTGCTGGTCCTGTGGTTCAAGTCCGTGCTTTACTTTCGCCTGGACCCCCTAGCGGGTTGAAGGCACAGGCAGTCTGTGACTGCTGCCCATCCGGCCCTCATCTGGTTCCTGTATGTGTCCTGAACTGACTGGAGACACAGAATCAGGTGTTTCATAAACTGTCGACCCTGCAGTTTGTGTCTGGATTTTGTCTGTACCCTGAACTGCCTGGGGACATAGGTCCACTGGACCGGGATTGTCACACCAGTGCAACCAGAGTCTGGGCCATGCACGTGCCCTGAACTGCAAGGGGATGCTGGATCAGACGGTCAGCCATCAGCTGACACCAATGCCCATGTCTGAGAAAGGGGATAGCTAGATACAAATCAAAAACTGCCGGAAAACCTGAGACTAGTAGCACTTCTCAGAG